GAATAAATATATCGATATATAGATCTGGATGTTTAACCCTGGTGTGGCCCTTCAATCCCAGATCCATTGAGTTGCAGACCAAGGATACTGTGTAAATCCTTTTGGCATGGAGGAGCTGCCAGCCCAGAATCCAGATACCCGGCCCAAATACTACTACAATCCCTATAACCTTAGTATCACTATAGGGGTCCCAGCGCTATTCCTCCATTTTTTCCTCAATGCATTTTTTTCTGGGCATTTGTGGAGAAACACACAGCATACTAGCCCACAAGGGTGGCTCCATAGGGCTCTTCAAGTGAAAGGAGTAACCCTAAAACAGGAAGTCAGGGTCATGCTCAGGGGATCTGCTGATTCTGCAGGAAACTAAAACTTTTAAACATCAAGGAGCAGCATCCATTGTAAGTGATTTCATCCGCATTTTGACTTGAATGTCACTTTAAATAAACCCTACGAGATTTGGTTTAATGTGGAATGTCCCTTTAAGCAATGAGATGGCAGAGTAATGATGAGACGGTTTCACCGATCTGGTATTTCAATTGCCGGCTGTAATATAGTGACAAATGACGGCTCAATAAACAAGGGTTTGACCTGACCCGTCACTGACTCACAGAATACATTCTGCTTCTGCCTGCACATTGCACTCCATGGAGCTGCGACAAGTCAGGACGAGATGTCATGAGGTTTGTGACCTGCTGTACGGCGTGCATTGTTCATATACTACATTATAAGGAGGACCGGTCTGACTTGTCACAAGCAACTCAGTGAGGTCAATTTAGAAATGGAGTAGGACAGTGGGGGCCAATGTGCAAAAGCCTGGCTGACCCATCTCGTGCAGCACGCCCGCGCCGGCCCGCCCATCTCCTGCAGCAGGCCCGCGCATCTCTTGATGCATTGTGGACATGCTACAAGAGATGGTCAGCCACTGCAGACATGCAACAGAAGGTGGTCTGCAGGACACACCTCCAACTTGCATATTCCATAATAGGAGCAGCAGCAGGACTGCTGCAGTGGTGTTTACCATGCATGGCAGATGCGATTTGTAGTCTTTCCATTCACAGATCCCTGTGAATGGATGGTGTGGCTGTGTGAATGGAGTCATGCACAGTTGCACTAAATCTTAAAAGAAGCAGCGCCATTCATATAAGTGGCGGGCCACTTGAGGGTGGAAGGCACATGATTACCTCACACCAGGGCCATCCCTATAATAAGGCAGCCTGAAGAGGTTGCCTCAGGCGGCATTTCATTGGGTCACGTGAGGGCAGGTGTGCCTGCCAACCGCTTTCTCGCTAGAATGTCCCAGGTTGCCAAGAGCAGCCAGTGAGATCAGTGAGCCGGGCGGGATGTTGTGCACCATGAACCAGCCGCCCATTCTGGAAAGTCCACTACGAGCCGCCAACAAATCCCAGCAATACATTACACAGCAATGCAGAATAATACCACCAGCTACAGAGGACTACAAATCCCAGCAATGCAGAATACTACAACTATAGAGGACTACAAATCCCAGCAATACATTACACAGCAATGCAGAATAATACCACCAGCTACAGAGGACTACAAATCCCAGCAATGCAGAATAATACAACTATAGAGGACTACAAATCCCAGCAATGCAGAATACTACCACCAGCTATAGAGGACTACAAATCCCAGCAATACATCATACAGCAATGCAGAATAATACAACTATAGAGGACTACAAATCCCAGCAATAGCAGAATAATACCATCAGCTATAGAGGACTACAAATCCCAGCAATACATTATACAGCAATGCAGAATAATACCATCAGCTATAGAGGACTACAAATCCCAGCAATACATTATACAGCAATGCAGAATAATACCATCAGCTATAGAGGACTACAAATCCCAGCAATACATTGTACAGCAATGCAGAATAGTATATGAATTTGCTACATACTCTGTGCTGCTGCTCTGGGGAGGCAGCCTAATATCTCGGGTGGAGGGTTTCAGGAGGGGGAGATGGGCAGCCGGCGGAAGCGCTGTAAACAGGCACTGCAAGGTTCCCCAGAAAGCTGCCACGAGGTCCCCAGCAAGCGCAGCACCGCCGGTATGAAAATGCCAGTATCTGTTTTTAGTATCGGGGGAATTTCATGAGTACAAGTAATTCATGAATACATTATTAAATGTATTAATATACAAGCAGATAAATCTACATTTCCCTTTATAACAGCCTCTTGAACAGAACTCAGACTGGGAGAGGGAAAAAGCAATGCAAAGAGCCAGTTAGCTGTCCTGCAGTTATGTGTTAGCAAGGGATATGCTGATAGGTGTAGAGAGCAGAGTGACCGATGGAGAGATGAGCCTCAGTCTGCTGCTTCTCCTTTCACTGTCCAGTCGATAGAGGGTGGAGGACAAGACCTGTAAAGGGTTACAGAAATGCAGCAGAGAAGAAAAAAAAACAAACACTTCCTGTAGCCTTCCACACATGGCTGTGCGGCAAAGCAGTTTAAATCTCAGGATTGGATGGACGGAAATACAAATCCTTTGCTAGGTAAACACAGCTTCCTTATATTTATCTTGTTTGCCTGGAGTTGAGCTTTAAAGCATTTGATTTGAGACTAAAGATCTGTAATCACAAGAATGGATGGATTTCTGATAGTAGTCATTAGGGCGTTTCATGGGCAGCTCACCAATGCAGGTAAACGGAACATTTATTGAGGAATGTAAAAAAAAAAAAAGAAGAAGTGCACATTGATGGGAAGAATAGGAGTAGGGCTGAGATAACTCGGCGTGTTCAGACAAGCAGCACCAACTGGAAGGTGAGCAGATACACAGCCCAATGTATCCCAAAGAAGAAACAATGATCCCGCCATGACACCCACAACGTCCAGCCGGCCGTGGCAGCTTGCACTTAGCCCTATTCCATACAGAGGCCAAGGGACATCTGGGGTGCAGACAGCTCCAGGTCAGGGTCTCCCCAAAATCAGGGGCGTGTCAAGGGGCCATGTGAGAAAATGGGCAGGCTGTGGGGGGCCGGACCGATTGCACACAGTACGACAGGTGAGCTGCCATTCCTTTGAATGCCACTCCGAATGCACCTCCCGGCCACAATGCAATAGACTGCAACACAACGCGCTGTACTGCAATACCATGCGTTGCGGTTAAAACTAGCGGATGCAACAATGTGCCTGCTGCACTGTAGATGTGTTGCGCAGCACCGCGCATTAATCGCATGGCATGGGTGCGAACAGGCACAGAATGAACGCTCATTGTCCCCACATTATTGGAGTACTATGTGGGACATTGTTTGTTTTTCAAGGTGTCATGAGGTGGAGATGCAGAAGAGGACAGAATCAGCAATACGGACTTGCTCCTGTAATGCTGGGGGCAGGAAGACATTTATTACTGGTTGGTTGGATAAGGGCAGTCCTATAACTGCAGAGGAGGGGGATCCCTGATGTCATTGGTTGCTAGGAGTGCCCAGGGGTCCTAGCAACCAATGACTGCAATGAGGCTGACTCCTAACCTCATTGGTTGCTAGGAACTTTCAGGAGTTCTTGCAACCAATGACTGCTTATGCTGGAAACCCCTGATGTCATTTGTTGCTAGGACCGCCGACAGTCCTACCAACCAATGAGGAGGACGACCCCTAATGTCACTGGTTGCTAGGACGCCAGCAGTCCCAACAACCAATGACTGAAGAACACAGTCCGGACATGGACCGATCACTGACCTGCACTGAGCTATGACTTGCTGGGGATGCGCCGGCTTCCAAGGCTTGCAGGCTGCCGATTGGTCTGTGTCCGAAACATGGGCCGGACAGAGACAGACCAAGTGCTTGATTCGGCCCGCAGGCCGTAAAATGCCCAGGTCTGCCCTAAGTAGTAAAAGGAAGGGTAAGGTCATCCAGCAGTCCCATTAGAGGGACAAATCCCTCTTTCCTCATCATCTGTCAAAATCCATATGAATTCAGGGCAGAGTTGTCACCCTCATACAGGCTGGGCCTGCCTGCACTAAGGAGGAAATGTTGCAGGGGGCGTGGCTATCAGCAATGTCACTGCCGATTCACAAACCTGTAGCTTGTCAGTCATCACCTGGTGACATCTAGCCCCACCCACTGCTTTCAGGATTGGCAGCACTGCCTCTGTTGCAGATACCCTCCCAATGTGAGCTGCAGTGTCTGGGAGGGGGGAGCGTTTGAGATACAGATGAAAGATGTTGCTCAGTTGGGGAAGGTAAAGGAAGTTTATAGTTTATTCTATGAGGCCTGTGCATCACATAGTAATGATCCAATAGTAATGATACTTCATGATCCACCAAACATGGGGTGTGTGAAATGTAGTGATGTCACCGTGCTGCTCACTATTCTCCTTGCTGGAGAAGCTGCACCTAAGGACCTGCAGTGCAAGGATCTCCCTGCTTCCGCTTCATTCATTCTTGTGCTTCCTCCACCTTTCCTGCTACTTCTCAGTTATTCCTTCTCTGGTGCTCTAACCACCAGTCATTGGGGGGGGGGGGCACGCGCTAATGTAAGAAAGCAAAGTGCTGCCTCTACCAAGATGGCGGCCTCCACACAAACACGGTGCTGAACATGGCAGTAATGGGGAAAAGATCAGCTGTGGGGAGACCATAGGCAATACTCTGGTTTAGTCCTTTGCCTTGTCTTCCCCTTTTTTGGCCAGAATTCAGAGTTCCGGTCATATTCAAGAAAGACAAAATGAAAAGCAGATTCCTGGGACGGTAAAGGGAAATGTCTGACGCATCGAAACAGATTATTTTTCCAGAAACCCGCTAAAGACAATATGTTTGTGAAATGCGTGTGATCCGCCTTGAGCAGGACTTCAGAAAAAGCAGCCGAATCTGGTTTTTCCAGTTTTGTAGAAAGCCGCCCCCTTCTGCCCCAAGGTCGGGATTCCTCACCGCTACACCCGAGAGAGACAAACGTCATGCAAGGCAACACAATGCTGACCGCTTATGACATAGTTGTCACAACCACCTCCGAACCCATGGGATCTCTCCCTATGGGATCCCCCTCTCTTGCCTTCTCTCCCTATGGGATCCCCCTCTCTTGCCTTCTCTCCCTATGGGATCCCCCTCTCTTGCCTTCTCTCCCTATGGGATCCCCCTCTCTTGCCTTCCCTCCCGGTACGGGATCCCCCTCTCTTGCCTTCCCTCCCGGTACGGGATCCCCCTCTCTCGCCCTCCCGGTATGGGATCCCCCTCTCTCGCCCTCCCGGTATGGGATCCCCCTCTCTCGCCCTTCCTCAAGACTACCTATCCCAACATGCATTGCTCCCAGCAAGCAATGATGATGTTACATTGTTCAGACGTTGGGTTGTAGTTCATACAGCAGGCTATGTGAGAGCGGTGGCACAGAGGTGCATATTCACAGGGCTGAGTGAAGTGGTGTAAGAAGTCCATCCTATGGGCATCTTCAATAAGTATACAACCTTCAATCCCGCTCCTAATAACCTGATCCATCTAGAACTTATGGAAATTCAATATAGAAATACAGATTTATTTTTAGTTTTTGATCATAGACACTAGGGATGTACCGATACTAGTATCGGTATCGGGGTCGATACCCGGCATTTTCACAAGTACTTGGATTCTTAAGGCTGATACCGGCCCTTTACATTCTTAAACCGCAACGGCCGTCCGAGTTCCCGCGCTTGTGGGGACCTCGGCAGCCTACTGGGGACCTGTAATTAGCTGGCCATGGCAGTGCCTATCCCATAGCTCCTCCCCCTCCTCCTCCCCGGCACAGCCATAGACAGCCCCACACCGCACAGCAGGTGTTAAAATGCAAAACGTGAAGAATTCCAGCTGTTCCAGGGCAGGTCGGCATGGCAGATGGTATGTGCAGGAGAACCGATCTGCCCTGGAACAGCTGATCGGTCCTGAAACGTCACTTCTATCCGATTTTGTGGAATGTCAGATCACAGTCACAAAGTGGGATAGAAGTGACATTTCAGGACCGATCAGCTGTTTGGTTCTCCTGCATATACCATCTGAGATGCCGATCTGCCCTGGAACAGCTGGAATTCTTCACCTTTTGCCGGTCACACATTCCAACGCCGAAAAACTGGGCGGGATTACATTAAAATGTATGACCACATCAGCAGTCACATGCAGTCACAAACTTTGATAGAACACCGGCTACACATGGATCCAATTTCTGCTGAACCGGCTGGCTCAGCAACATTTACAAATCGACTTTTGTCAAAAGGTGGAAAATTGTCAGCCCATTAGCAGCTGCAGTCACTGATCAGGTATGTAGACAGCTGCAGGTGCCGGCTGTCAGAATACAGTAGCCAGCAAGGGACATCCACCATTCCGAGCTGTTTAGCATGGATGGGGGTACCGAGTAATCTTTCAGTGTATGGCCAGCTTTAAGCTAACC